CTCACCTGTAAACGCGGGACCAACAGAACAGGCAACTCCAGAACCGTCACCGGGAAGGAGCAGCCAGGCCAGTGCAACCAGCCTGGAAAGATCCAGCGGAAACAACAGAGACGGCAGCTCAACCAGCCCGGGTAGACCGGGAGGGAGCTACCAAGAAAGGCCCAGCCCGACCTTCCAGGCGGTTCCATCCCGGGGAACCAGAGCGACAGAGAAGGCCTCCGAACCGGTCGACAACCAAACAAGAACTGAGTTGCGCGGGTCAACTAGACAGGTACGAAGCCCCGCCTACCTGCACGACTACGTCACGACGCACCGACAGACGAAACCAAGAGGGGAGGGGTGTGCTGTATTAGCATACTCCAAACCCTCGCAACTGATTGGTCCGGACGGACAGCGACCTGATTGGTCGAAACCCCGGCCGTGATTGGAGTGCTAAGAATCTACCGCGATTGGCTGTGCCGATCGCGGGAGATTCAAAGCGCTGCCATTGGCCGCCGAGCTGCGCGCCAGCCCTATATGAAGGGCTGCCGCGGCTTGCATTCCCCCAGACTATTTCTATCCTAAATAAAGAGCTGAACTCACAGAATGGTCTCGTGTCTCCTTCGACCCGATCCACCTCAGATCTAACAGGGAGGGAGAGAGGGAAAGAGGGAAGGAAGGACAGAAGAATGCCATGGCCCATTACTGCAGCATGACTAGTTTCTTGCTACAGATTAAAATTCATATCTGAGATTTCTAATTTTTAGGTTGAAGGACTCACCGTAGTAAATCAACAGTTTGCAGAAAGTGTCTCTGAACCTGGCAACACCTTTTTGGATTCAGAATTTGATGGAATACTTGGTCTGGCCTATCCATCCTTGGCTGTGGATGGTGTCACCCCTGTATTTGATAATATGATGGCCCAAAACCTGGTGGACTTACCAATATTCTCAGTTTACATGAACAGGTAATGCATAAAAAGTTGCGTCTTCTTCCCAATACAGTAGAAAATTTAGCCTTTCAGATTAGCACCTGCTTTACTTGAAATCAATAAAAACCAATACCAAAGGAACCCATATGGTTGGCTATTTTTAAAAAAACACAATTCTGCAGCAGGAGTAGGGAAGCTTATCTCTTTCCTTATAAATTGGTGAATGTCTTATTTCTGGTACTGGGACCAGATTCCATTATTTTTGCTTAGTATTGGAAAGAATAATTGGTTGCATTTGTGTACTTTCTTTTCTCAAAATCAGTCAATATTCCATTCATCAATGTGCCCAATGTGCAGGCATGATCAGAGATAGCCAGAGGACTGACATGAGAAGTCTGGAAAATGTGGAGCATTTCCCCTTTCCTAAGAGGTCTGTAGGGGGCGTGCATAAGTGCACCAACGTGCCTACCGTCCCTGTCCTATTGTTTCTCTTATTCTTTTATTTTTCTTATATGTACCCATTTCATGTATTCACAACTATGTATACACTTATACTTATTATCTTGTAAACAATTGGCAAACCAAATAAATAAATAAATAAATAAATAAATAAAATGTGGGGCATCAATTATGTACTTCAGGTTTCGAATTCTGAAAAGAATGACTGTGTAATAGAAAAAACACAAAGCAAAGGCAATGTAATTATTTCTTCTTTCTCTCCTCAGAAACCCTTATTCTTCTGTAGGAGGGGAACTGATTTTTGGTGGCTATGATGAGGCCTATTTCAGTGGAAATCTCAACTGGATTCCAGTCACTAAGCAGGGATACTGGCAGATCCTACTGGATAAGTATGTGTCTTATTTAAAAATAAGGGGGGATTCTCAGAGATAATAGCTACTTTTCTATCTCTGATGAATGCTAGAATTCAGGGTAATTGTGCATTTAGGACTCAGACTTGCCAATCTTTTACAGAAGCACCACATCTGTTTCACAAATCCCAGGCTTTCACTGTTACAATGAGCTGTAATCATCTTTTAACTATTTGGCTAGATGTGATATATATTTATCCTTAGAGTTAGAGGGCTGTTTTTCACTCCTTTAAAAGCCAGGAAAGTGGTTTAGGTGATTATGTATATTAATTACATCATTGTCTGTAACAGGTGTTTTTACAACAGTATTTGCCAATTCTCCAAATGATGTAAATAATTCCTTGTGGATAAAAGAAATTCCATCTATTACTAACTATTCCACCTCCATCCATCCCTCTACATCATTTTATATGGAAAAGCAAAGTACCAATGCTTTGAATATTGTCTAAGTTCCTGCAGCTTGTAAAATTCCAAGTTACATATGAGGTCAGAAAGTCTTCAAATACAATTGTGATCATTATGGAGGGATTCCTGCTTCATTCCAAAAAATTACAGAATCATCAAGATCCTTCCCCATCTACCTAGCTTTGTTTCCTTTATACCAAAAATCCTAGGAAAGTATGAAATTAGGAAGCATAAATTCTAAACTTTCAGTGTCTTGTTGAAATGCCTCAGCTATATCAAATGTGCAAGAAAACTCCTCTTCATAGACTACAGTTCTTCCAAAGAAGCTTTAAAATGAAGAAATTTTTGCCTTTAAACTAGGCCCACGAAAGTAAGACTGCAAATTTTCAGACAATTAGATAGTAATTTAGTACTAGATTTACTATATTAAATACAGCATTTTGTGATTACCCATAGTCTCTCAAAATAACCCAAAACCCAAAACATATATTAAAGTCCAGTAAAGCCTTCAATTTAACTTCACTGTTTTATTAGGCACAGTTTAAAGTCACAAAAGTAAATAATGAGGCAAACAGAAAATCAAAACAAACCGCATTGGTGAGAGTTCTGAAGCAAGCCAAGATAACTAATTATAAACTCCAGGAAAATAACCAAGAAAAGTCCATGGGAAGAACACCAGCAAAGATAAGCCTCTTTCAAGGTGAACACTAATTGACTTCAGCAATTCTAACTGCGCAGTTGCAAACTTATATACATAGCTCCCACCTGCAAGCCATGAGGAGGATCATGGTAATCTCCTCTTGAGTAGACCTTGCTCTTCCCTGATCCTCTCTTCCCTGCGTGACCTAGGATGGATAGGGGATGGGCCTGGATCCTCCTCTGACTGCTCAGCTGGCCTCTGCCCTTCCCCAGCCTCCTCCACCACCTCTGGAACCACACTCCCACTCCCTGTTGGCTGTTCCTCCTCTTCCTCAGAGTCAGACTCCACCAGGGGCATGGCACATTTTCTGCATCTTGTTGTAATTTTTGCAAACTGGATAAGGTCACTCTAGACCAGGGGTGTCAAACTCATGTTCTCACAGCGGTGTCACGTGACTTATTGGGACTTTTTCCCCTTCGCTAAACCAGGTATGGGCATGGGTGTGGCCAGTGTGTGACACATCCGGCCCGGGCTGGGAGTTTGACAGCTCTGCTCTAGACTATCCATATATCCAGAGAAAATACAGAGATTCCAGCAGAACCATTATAATCATGGGTAGAGGCAGACAAATCAACATTGTGATATGCCAAAATTCCAAGTGTGCTCTTGGAATAAGCTCTTGGGACTGATTCCAAGCAATCAGTCCTTAATTACTGTTAGCTAAGCAAGAGTGCTCACTATTGTCCCCATTTTAGGAGACGTAGACATTTTCCCTTGGTATAACCAGAAATGTTGTCCATTTAAAGTCTTCTAATCTCCATCACTGTACTTCTCAGCACAGATCTTTTCAAAGATGAACCAGTAACGCAGTGACAGAAATTAAAACAAATATAGGAAAACAGTGTCAGGATCAAAGTCAACCTATAATTATGCTGGGAGAAGAAGTACCAATGTAAATATATTGGAGAGGCATTACCACCAAAACAGCCCCCTTGAAGCTTTATTTCCATCTTCTTTTCAGTATCCAGGTTGGTGGGAATGTTGCATTTTGTGCAGAAGGATGTCAGGCTATAGTGGACACAGGAACATCTCTCATCACAGGCCCTTCTGAAGACATAAAGCAAATGCAAACATTAATCGGGGCACAACCTATGGATGGTGAGGTAGGTCCCAACTTGGAAATCAGTAACAGCATCCCAATCCTCGTGCTAAATCTAGGATAAGTTTAAATCTAAAATTTACAATCTCTTTACAATCCTAGTTGTTATTTCATTTTCTCTTTTTGTTTATTTCAATTTCATTACATGCTAGTTCTTTGAATTTTAAAGAAAATTTACTCTGTCATTTTGCAAAAGGTGAAGCATATGCTTTTAAAAAAGGAGGCTTAGGAGAAGCAGTGAATTTAGGCCAACTCTTCTCCTGATTTAGCTTCTGAAACATCTGTCTTTTTGCCCCAAAGTTATATAACTTTTGAGAGCAGCTTGGCAGCCCTCTAAGTGCCTCATAGATATTCTGAGAAGGAGACCCTCTAAGGCAGAGGTGTGAAACTTGTGTTGTCATGGCATCGTCACATGACGTATCGCGACTTTTTCCCCCTTCACTAAACTGGGCATGGGCATGGCCAGTGTGTGACGCATCCAGCCCGTGGGCCATGAGTTTGACAGCCCTGATCTAAGGCAATTGGTGGGTGCTACCTAGAGAATGAGAAATGGCGTTATTGCTATGGTGCAAAAAAGTATGGCAGACAAAAACGTATGGAGCAAGGGGGATGGGGAGTTAGCCCTGGATCCTTCTCTCACTTCAAGCAATCAATATTTAATTACTCTCTGTGTTAGCATATTGTGTAATAGCATATTAAACACAGGCAACCTTCAGAGTAGTTTCCTTAAATAAAAAGGAGCATTTGGAGGGAGATAGATTGAACAAAGCAGAAGTAAAGGGAAAATAAGGATACTGAATCCTTATTGTATCTTATATATTTTTGGGCTGAAACCTGGTTCAATGTTTTAGTATACTTAAAGACATCAATTCACTTATGCGTGTAATATCTTACAAGGGAAGCACAATTCAAAAGAAAAAGATTGGAGTGCAAAATAGATATTGTCCATCTTCTTATCTAGGGTTGTTTTTTTAATTGAAATATTGGATGTTCATTATTGCAAAGATATACCAATTGTTTGCAGTATGCTGTGGAATGCAACTATCTCAATGTGATGCCTCTTGTCACTTTCACAATCAATGGAAACTCTTATCCTCTTACTCCAGAGGCTTACACTGTCATGGTAAGTACTGTCACTCATTTCTTCCTGGCAGAACATGTGTCATTCTTGGGAAAGCATGGGTTATTGTCTGTAACTTTATATTGGGACATGGAGAAAGAACACTGATGTATTAGTAAGAGTTTCCCCATTCAGATGCTCAGTTGCTCTTTTACTGCTGAGAGTCAGAAAAGACAAGCTAAAAAAGGACAAGGCAGACTTCTTAAGGTTGTACTATATACCAAGGTTGCCTAATGAGAATTGGCCAGATATTAACACGTTTTAATCACCATGATAATAAATACAAACTAGTAATACCAATTAAAAAGTGCCAGTTTGGAGTACTGGTTAAGGTACCAGGCTAGAAATTGGGAGACAGTGGGTGCTAGTGTCGCCTTAGGCATGAAAATTGGATCACACTTTCTCTCTCTCTCACCCCAATTCACTCATAGGGTTGTTGTTGTGAAGAAAATAGGATATGTTTGCCCCCTTGAGTTGTTTATCAAAATCATAAATGTGGAATATAAATAAAAATAGTAAAACTAAAGAATGAGGAAATGACTGTTTTCCTTCATTCCCTGGGAAGGAAGAAAGGAAGGAAAGAAGGAAGGAGGGAAGGAAGGAAGGAAGGAAGGAAGGAAGGAAGGAAGGAAGGAAGGAAGGAAGGAAGGAAGGAAGGAAGGAATTGTGGCATATGTGTTTGACAAGCTCTGTTGCTGTTGAAAAAGTACAGGGGAAAAGAATATTTATCACAATGACCATCTTATCTGTCCATAAAGATGGGGGGCCGGGGGGAGACTAGCATTCATACTAGATCAAAATCTTTATTAATTTTGTGGATAACCTAAAAGTTAAGGTGTAACAAAAAGTAGGGGGAAACTTACTTAATCTTTATAAGTCAATGTACAGAGCAAGAGAACATTTAAGGAAGAGTTCCAAAAGCCTCCACCTCCATACAAGCCTCATTAGAATAAATGACAATGACATAAAAAGGTGCACTGTCGTTGAATTCTCCAGGTATCTCAATAAATTGAGGCTTATCCAAAAGATTAGGTCAGGTGATTCAGCTGTGAAGTCTAATATTTTTATTTTAATGATTATTTCTAAAACTTCATTTATACATATACATTTAACATTCACAAATCCGGGGCCCTTTTTCTCTTCTTTTTTTCCCAATGCATTTTCTCCTTGGGAAAGGTGGTGATCCCTTCCACCGTAATAAAGCATGCTAGTTCCTCTTGCCAGCATCTTAGTCACTATTAGAAAGATAATAAATAATATATTCATACCCAAATACAATATAACACTAACTTGAAGGCATCTATATATAACCTTACATGCACCTTTCAGGCTTTACTTCTTTGTTATGGTAGGGAGTTATTTTAAATGATAATGCTATTTTTGTTCTACTAAATATATTACAGTGAAGCTAATGTCATAAATTGTAGATTTGGCAGCCTACCACAAGTCTGCTTTTCATACCAACACAAGAATCCTTTGGAGATGGCAGTGCAGAAACTCCTCTTCTACTTGAATTCTTTCAGGTGCAGATCAGCCCATGAGAGGATAAAGGGAGATGAATGGGAAGGGTTTGTAATATTCAAATACAAGAAAGTGGCTAAATCAATGGAAGGTACTAATAGAAACAAACATTGAGAAAGTTAAAGACAGAAATAGGAAAGTGCAGAAAGAACTAAAAAAAAAAAGAGAAGAAAAAAGTAGTGGCTTCTGACTCTTCAGTATGATAGTATGCAAAAAACATTACAACCTCAACTTTTTGCTATACAGTTCTGAATATTTCAAGCCGTAAGAGCAAAACCATTCTAATTGTCAAAACCTAGGGTTTCATTTTTTTTTCAGTTTCAAATACAAAATCCAGAATTGGTTTCCAAATGGAAATAAAACTTGATAAGCTCTTCTCTTTAATTAAAACAGTTAGTTTTACCTTCTCTGCCCACTCCATCACGTTCTCCATCCATTCTTCTATTGTGGAAATTAGTGTGTCTTTCCACCTTGGGCATATAAGATTCTACCTCCTGTCAATATATATAATAGCAAAGTTCCCTGTTTTCTTTCAAGCTCCTTGTCCAGCATGAACACACTCTTCTTTAATATGGTGTCTTCAAAATATTGGACTAGTGCTGCTATCATTTTAAGGTCACAGATTATGTTATTACATGTCCCATGTCCAGGCTAGAAATGCCATGATTCCTTCATATGCTCAAATCACAACTAGAATTTTTCTAATTTATGCTAAAAACAATTGGCTCAGTATCCAGTCATTGCCTTCTTCCTTCTATCTCAATCCTTAGTTGTGCCTTGAAAATTCAACAATAATCTTTCCCAACAAAGTCATCCTCCAGATATAAGGACAACTTCTAGCATTTAAATTTCTGTGGTTAAAACTGCTTTTGAGTGTGTGTAAATGTTGCTATACAAATCTGAATATGATTTATTGTTTTAATCCAATATTAATTGCTTTTAAACCTACATATCCTCTTTCCCATAGGTCAATAGTGATGGGATGAACCTGTGCACCAGTGGCTTCCAAGGTTTAGATATAGAAACTGCAGATGGTCCACTCTGGATTCTGGGAGATGTTTTTATTGGCCAATACTACTCTGTCTTTGATCGGGGAAATAATAGAGTGGGATTGGCTCCAGTTGTCTCTTAAGAGATTTAGAGAGTAAAGGAATGTAAGCCTATTCCCTTTTCTATCTTTTTTTGAGCAGCAAAATTAAGTTTCCTATCTCTTTTTTTTTGTTTCCCATGTGAAATGCAATCAGGATTATGACTTTTATCTATAAATGCAAATTCCTTGAGATCTCCTGGAAAAGAGCTGTTTAGACGTGTCAGTTCTCAGTATCAAGATATATGATGATTTTATCTTCTCTCATCAAGTAAATTAGATTAAATAAATCCTGAATACAAACTCAAAACATTTTGTCACAGTCCCAAGCTGAAGTTGTATTTACACAATTGGCTAAGCATGATTTATTGAATAAAGTGCAATGGTTTGAGCTGATCCGCCATGTTAATTTATATATCAAATATTACAAACTACATGATTGATTTACATAGTATGCTTATCCACACTAATCAAAATGTATTTTGATTGAATATCTTGTATGAATCTAGTCCGATTTGTGAGGAGGTTTCCTCTTTGTAAAAGAAAACTGGACTACATCTTGCAAACTTATATATAATTAATGAGTTAAGTAAATAGATGAATAACTAATAATATTTCTTAAATAGCGAAACCATTAATAAAAATATTTTTGTATGCCTAAAGCAATGCATTGTGTGATAAATAATATCTCTGTGTGATTTTCTGAAACGAAAGAATTGTGGACTGAATAATGCATCAACATTCTAAATACATCAACTTTCTCATTAAACAGATGTGGGCAGATTAATATCCCAGTGCCAGAAGTTACTCTGAATCTTTTTTGAAGATCTCAGAGCTTCCCAGAGCCACAACTGTGAATACTGTGACATTTTTTGGCATCTTCAACAAAAAAATATTCTGCTGTTGATTACATTTTATTTATTTATTTATTTATTTGATTTGCCAATTGTTTACAAGATAATAAGTATAAGTGTATACATAGTTGTGAATACATGAAATGTGTACATATAAGAAAAATAGAAGAAGAATAAGAGAAACAATAGGACAGGGACGGTAGGCACGTTGGTGCGCTTATGCACGCCCCCTACAGACCTCTTAGGAAAGGGGTGAGGTCAATAGTAGACAGTCTAAGGTTAAAGTTTTTGGGGTTTGGGGAAGAGACTACAGAGTCGGGTAGAGTATTCCAGACATTGACCACTCTGTTGCTGAAGTCGTATTTCCTGCAATCAAGTTTGGTGCGGTTTTAACATACCCCTAACTCTTTATACGAATTCATACTGTGGCTATTTACTGCAGCTCTTCTTCTAGAGAATGTTAAGTGCAGTCCTCCAAAATGTATCTCAGTCTATCCTAAGGATAATATTGTATGCTCCCCCCCTTTTGTGTGTGTGTGTGTGTATGTATATGTGTGCAGTGGGATTTGCCTTTAAGGAGGCACTAAAAATTAACATGTTATATATGGACCTTTTGGTATTCATTCAGATTCTGTACTGGTCTTGATAAGTTTATTAAACCACATGCTGGCTGGGAGTTCTCGGACAAATTGCAACACTAGAGAAAAGATAAGATTGGGGAAGACTGTCCTCATCCAAGAAAGGGGAAAGACGGAACTACCATTGTACTCAGAGCAATATATACTGTAAATCAGGGGTGGGCTGCTACCAGTTCACACCGGTTCATCCCCACGAACGATTGGTTGGCCCCACCCAACCACCCCTGCCCTATCCTGTCTTACATTTCCTTCTTTTGCAGCTCAGCTGATTTGTGCGGAAAAGTGGATTACCGCGCTTCAGCTGTTCCACTTATTGGGGAAGCAGGAAAGTGAGTTGGAGAGATTCAAATAGGTGATTATTGAAAGCTGCACGTGTACACAAAGTGCACTCACAGAACCGGTTGTTAAACTGGTTGCATCCCACCACTGCTGTAAATATGGTAACAAAGTGTAGAATTTAAGAAGGCCAGATTCAGACATAATGTTCCTTGACATGAAGGACACTGTAAAATATAACTGGCCAGTAGTTGTATTTTGCTATACCAATAATAGAAGAGCATGTTTATTTATTTATTTGATTTGATTTGCCAATTGTTTACAAGATAATAAGTATAAGTGTATACATAGTTGTGAATACATGAAATGGGTACATATAAGAAAAATAAAAGAATAAGAGAAACAATAGGACAGGGACGGTAGGCACGTTGGTGCGCTTATGCACGCCCCCATACCACACAGGTTACTTGGTGGGGCAGGGCAGGGCAGTGCTAGAGAGTTCAGATAATGTAGCTTTCACTCCAATTCCCAGCATTTACTTCCAGAGGCAGTCACCACTTTCTGATATGGTGATTCTTTACACCAGGGGTGTCAAACACAAGGCCCGCGGGCCAAATCCGGCCCGCCAGACCTCGTCTGATGGCCCGCGGTGCCGCCGCCAGCCTTGCAGCCTCCCCCTTTTTTTTTTCAATGAATTTACTCCGTGCCTGCACGGAGTAAATTCATTTTAAAAATGGCTCAAGTTAAAAAAAAAAAATAATTACTTACCTTCCGGGACCTGGCCCGACTTCTTCCTGCCCCGCACTGCTCCCTGGGTGTTGGACGTGATGTCATCATGTGACGTCCGCCCGACATCTCCAGGGATCAGAGGAGCGCGCGGACGCCGCGGAGAGGAGCAAGAAGAAAGAAGTAAAAGAAAGAAAGAAGTAAAAGGTAAGTAAAGTAAATGGAGGGGGCAGATGGCTGGGCACTATAAAAGGGGGCAGATGGCTGGGCACTATAAAAGGGGGCAGATGGCTGGGCACTTTAAAAGGGGGCACATGGCTGGGCACTATAAAAGGGGGCACATGCATTGTACAATAATTGTACATTTGAATATCTACTTGTCATTATTCTGACTATGTTTCTGCTTTCAGAGCTAGTTATTACTTACATTATTACAAAAAACAGTAATAATTGAATGCAGTGACATTAATTTATGATAATAAAGAGTGGACACATAGACCTACAGATACAACCGGCCCTTTGATGGGGACCAAACTGCTGATGCGGCCCCCGATGAATTTGAGTTTGACACCCCTGCTTTACACAATCCTTTTAGATAGGCAGAAGTGAATATAAAGACATTACACATGATTATATTTATTCAAGCTTATTTTTTTTCCTATAAAGAAATCACTTTCAAAGGCAGTTTTTATCTCAGCAAAAACTCATCCAGAAATGATGAAAAAACAAAAATTGTATAAACTTTTTTTCTATATTGATAAAAAGTAAAAAGATACTGCTGGTACCTATCCTTGAAGGGAAGGCTTCTATTTGTTATATGTAGCAGTTCCTTTAAGCCAGAGTTTTACATATAATACTTTAAAACAATAAATTGATTTTGGGACTATATTGAAAAGAAAACAAAGCAACATAGATCTTTAAAGTCAACAACAGAAGGGCCTTAATGATCAGTCTGATGACATACAGTAGGTGATGGTATGCCTATAGGATTTTTAAAATGCACGCTAGTCTTGCAACACATATATGTAACATTATTTGGATAACGTAGAATTTATCTATAGATCTCATGATATCTGGATTGGTGGACTGCTTGGAAACATTGTCCCTCTTGTCGATCCTCAATCTGATCAGCTTCCATGGAATGGCCACTCTAACATAATTGAAAGGATCATTCTAGGACTTGGAAAGATACCCATGTTTTTTCTCCTTTACTTCACCATGCAGTACAAGCTCATGAAACAAAAGTGCCAGCCAAGAAGAATCACAGCTTATTTTCTCTAGTACCCTTCCATTTTCCTTGAGTGTCTATGTATTTTGTGTGCTGATATACAGTATAATCATTGTGGTTTTTTTGTTGCTGATTGTGCCTATTTTGGCTTTGTCAGTTACAAAACTATGTGTTTTAATTTTACTTTTTAAAATGTGTGTAACTGTTTACATGAGAAGCCCACTCAGTAATGCAGTATTGGAAGAAGGCAGAATTTGTAGGTGAAGACAAGTAACAGAATTGCATTTTATAATAAGTTTGCCTCCAATGGTATGTTGCTTTTAGAAGTGGATCGCTCGCATGAGCAATGAAATATTCAGGAGAGGTGGATGCAGAGTCCTTCACTACATCTCAGAGGATTTTTAGTGTACTTTTCCAATGTGCTGTGTCAACATTTGAAAAGCTAAAATGTTTGGGTTCATCAAGTTTTCATTAAGAGCTGCCTTCCACTATGTTGAGCTAAAATTATTTGAATTTGAATTCTTTATTGTCATTGTTTGTACACAGTACACATACAACGAAATTCACATAACACCCAGAGACCAGACCCAACACGCACACACACATGACAATCCCCAAATACCTCCCCTCACCAAAATTCCCCACCCCCTAAAAACACACAAGCATCCACACAACAGACCAAGTAATACTGTCCAACAGCTCACTGATGGTGGTCCTTAAGTTCATTGGTAAGTGCAAATATAACTCTGGGATAAAAACTGTTGAGAAAATGCGTGGTCTGAGTTTTAATTGTTCTGTATCTTCTGCCAGAAAGGAACAGTTCACAAAGATTGTAAGCAGAGAAGTCTCTGAGAATGTTAATGCAACTTCCTCAAACAGCGAGATGAGAAGATGTCATCCAGGTCTGGTAGCTGGAGCCCAATGATATTCTGGGCAGTTTACATGCCTTTGAGTATTTGTATTTCATTACATACCATGTAATATGAAGAATCATCAGTGCCTTTTATCTAAAACAATCCTTTCTCAAGTTTGTGCCCTCAAAGAGTTGGGTTGGGGATTCCAGAAATTGTACCCTGCCACATACAGTCCATCAGACTGGAGAAGAATGGCCTGGATGCCAGTCACAGAGTCTTATCAGGAAAAGATATGAGAACAATGCCTGCCAAATGAAAAGAAAAGTTAGTACATTTCATTTGCACCTATCCTATCTATATTGCAGATTGATATAAAACATGTTCTAAAATAATCTACTGTACATTCTTTCATATTTCAGTAAGGAAAGTTTTTCAAAATGGAAGTGTATATATTTCTTCAGGATGAACATTTTTCTCCAACTATCCTCTCCAAGTAGCCATTCATAAATCAATACAGATTTTTCAAATTAACTTACCAGATGGGATAAATGATCTGAAG